AGACCCTGTATAAATATAGACACAGTCATCTGAAGCGAGATGATTGTAACAGCAGGAATACTGTATATTCTGAGAAATGCATCCTTAGGCAATTTCATCATTGTGCGAATATCATAAAGTGTACTTACACAAACTTAGCTGGCATTGTCTACTATACAAATAGGCTATATGGTATAGCCTATTGCTGTAAATGCAGTTGTAGTTGACAGATATGTTGTTATGCCGCACATGACTATACATACATTATTATAGCATATGATCCAAAGGGAAGATCCAATGGTTTATTGCCAGGTTAGAAGAAATAATAAAGTGAAACACAGAAACAATAGTTAAAAAAGCAGTTTCTTTCTCTGTTTTCAGATATAATTTTATTGTTGCTCTAAATAAAAGGATTAAAAATATATTCACTTATACATATAACTTCAAGTTGAGTGCCAAGTTTTAAGACATAAACAAAATTCAAAAGCATCTTAAAAATTAGAAATATTGGTTATTAAAACTATTAAGTGCCAGTGTAAATAGTAAAGAATAATAAATGTAGAGAAACATAAAATAGAAAAACATAGGCAAAAAGATTTATAGGTAAAATATTTATTTTGTTCTTCAAATACAGTCTACATTCAATATTATTTTGTATTAGTTTCAGATATACAGCATAGTGGTTAGAAAATCTTATACTTTACAAAGTGTTCCCCCTGATATTTCCAGTAGCCATATGGCACCATAACATAGTTATTACAATATTAATGGGTATACAGCCTATGTTATACTTTATATCCCTATGACTATTTTGTAATTTTCCATTTGTATTCCTTAATCCTTTTACCATTTTCACCCAGTTCCCCAACACCTCCTACCCTCTGGCAGCCATCAGTCAGTTCTCTGTGCCTATCAGTCTGTTTCTGTTTTGTTTGCTTAATTATATTGTTCTTTAGGTTCCACATAAGTGAAATGATATAGTATTTGTTTTTCTCTGACTGACATATTTCACTTAGTACAATACACTCTCTGCCCATCCATGCTATCACAAATGATAAGATTTCATTCTTTTTTAAGGCTAATATTCCATCATATATATGTATACCTTTTTTTATTCACACATCTATTGATGGGCACTTGTGTTGCTTCCACATGTTGCCTACTGGAAATAATGCTGCAATTAATATAGTGGGGCTTATATTCTTTTGATTTAGTGTATTGGGTCTTTTCAGATAAATTGCCATAAGTTAAATCACTGGGTCTTAAAAAGTTCCATTTTTAATGTTTTGAGAAATCTGCATACTGTTCTCCATTAGGCTGTACCAATCTGTATTCACACTAACAGCGTATGAGGGTTCTCTTCTCTTCTATTCTTTAGCAACATTTGTTTGTTGATTTTTTGATTCTAGCCATCTTTATGTCCTCTTTGGAGAAGTGTCTACACAGGACTCTGCCCATTTTTAATAGGACTATTTGTTTGTTTGTTTTTTTATAGTGAGTTGCACGAGATCTTTATAAATTTTGGATATTAACCACTTATTGGTTGTAGCATTGGTGAAAATGTTTTCCCATTCAATAAGTTGTCTTTCATTTCGTGCATTTTTTTTTGCTGTACAATTTTTTTTTAGTTTCATGTAGTCCCATTTGTTTATGTTTTCTCTTTCCCTTCCCTATCTTCCCTTGAGGAGATAAATCAGAAAAAATATTTATATGCAAAATATTTGACAATCACACCATGCCACAAGGTCAATAAAAAATGACACAGTTATTTTAAAAACTGGTATGCTAATGAGATGTACTAACAAGTACATAACACATTAGGTCTGGAAAATATATGAGCTATACTCTAAATTTATGAAATTCTACAAACATCACAAGCTTTAATACAATGTGTCTTCCAATAACAGGATTTTGATAGTTCTTTCTCAAACTCTCACATAAGTATCAGGACCTTTGACAGAACTATGGAGTAATAAATTTGAAAAAATTGTATTTCGGAGCATCCTTCATCACATCATACAACTGATAACCTATGCCACCTATACTCAGAATCTGCTATGATCATATAAACATTTAACAATTTAATAATATTAGTCAAAACTTTTTAGAGTTTTAGAAGTATATCATACTTTTCATCCAAACTTTAATAATAAACATTGTCACTTAACTTTCTAATGATGTCATCATGCAATGATAGTGGGCAAATAAAATAGTGTCTAACAATAATCAACACATCGACACCTTCTCAGTGGAAAGTACAGATATAAAAAAATGAAAATTTGTTTGCTAATCCACTTGCTTTCAATTTATATTTTAAAATGACTGTCTCTTAGTCTCATTATTACTAATAACCAAAGCTCTATTTTAAATTTTATTTTTCAGTTACAATTTGCTTTCATATTGTTTTGTATTAGTTACAGGTATACAGCATAGTAGTTAACATAGACAATCATACTTTACAAAGTGATCCCCCTGATGTTTCTAGTACCCACCTCCCACTGTACATAGTTATTACAATATTATTAACTCTATTCACAATGTTGTTCTTTGCATTTCCATGATTATTTTGTAATACCAATTTGTAGTTCTTAATCCCTCCACTATTTTCATCAAGTCTCCACAACCACTCTTCCCTCTGGTAACCATCAGTCTAATCAGAAGTATTTTTTTTGCATTAAAATCTATTTTCCTTATACTTTATGAAAGCAGTTGTTATTAGTAAGTATTCTATTAGCTATGGTCAAGAATTCTTCTACATATAGTCATTTCAGTAACTCCATCAGGTACATAATGTTTATATATATAAATATATATATATATATAAATATATATATATATGAACTGAGGCATAGAGAAGTTGACTAACATCCTCATAGAAATATAGTTAGTAAGTTTCAAAGCTAGAGTTTAAACTCTAATATTCTGACTCAAGAGTTCATGCTCTTAATCATGAAAGATAAGATACTACCTTTCTAGTGAGCATATACAATGCAAGGCACTGTCCAAAAAGGGTTTAAAAAAGAAAAAAACATGACCATTGTCCTCAAGGAGGATAATTTAGAAGGGAAAACCAATTTCTAGAACTACTAGAAGAGAGAATGTGAAAAACATCATGGAAGTGTTAAGGCTATTGGAGCTGAACCGATTAAGAAATTTCAGGATGTTAGAACAGTCATCGACATGAATGTAAAGTTATAGAATATGATAGCATAGAAGTCAAAGATCAAAAACGGAAGTATAAAAGGGAGAGTCACAAGGTAGGCAATCAGAAAGTGGAGTACTGGAGATCCAAGATGGCAGAAAAATATATGGAACCTACGCTCACCTCCTATCAGGACCAAACTGAAATTACAACTAAACTATATAACAATGATCCTAAATAACCAAGTAAAGACTAGCAGAAGAGATGTCTTATAACAAAGGATTTAAAGCAGAAGCCACATCAAGACTGCTCCAAAAAGACAACTGAGGGTTGGTCAAGGCAGTGTCTTATATCGGCCTGTACCAGAGTCTCTCCCAAGAGGCCCAGAGCCAACACAGTCAGTGGCCAGCTTTAGACAATCTCAGAGAAGAATTCAATAAGCCTCACATGCAGCCTATCCACAGGGAGATCTTGGCAGGTACTAAATCATGCTGAAGTGAATTCTGCTTCACATGGTCAGCATCTGCATAGCAACTCACACGCCACAGTTGGGGTTGAGCCACACAGTCATCTAGCCTAAGGGTCGCTCCCATGCATGAATAGGCCAATAACAATCAAGATTCAATTACAACAGGAGGGCCCACAGAATGCTCACAGAGAACATTCCTAGAGCACTCAGCTATGGTGATCAAGGAGACTGTACCACTGGACTCCACAAGATACCTACTACAAAAGGTCACTCTATGAACACTGTGTGTCATAGTAGATCTATCTAATACATAGGAACAAACACAAAGAGGCAGCCAAAATGAGGAGACAAAGAAATAGACCCCAAATGAAATAACAGGAAAAATCTCCAGAGAAAGAGCTAAATAAACTAAAGACAATGAATTTATTAGGTATAGAGTTCGAAGTAAAGGTTATAAGTATGCTCAACAGCATTAAAAGGGACATAGAACCCAGTTAGAAATGAAGAATACAATATCTGAAATACAGAATACACTGGAAGGAACTGACTGGTGAGGTGCAGTGGATTGAATGCCAGTCTGTAAATCAAAGGGTCTCCAGTTTGATTCCCAGTCAGGGTATATGCCTGGGTTTCAGGCCAGTCCCTAGTGGAGCGGGGGGCGCATAAGAGGCAACCACACATTCATGTTTCTATCCTTCCCTTTCTCCCTCCTTTTCCCTCTCCCTAAATATAAATAAATAAAATCTTAAAAAATAATACACTGGAAAAATAAAAAGTAGGTTGGATGAAGCAGAGGACCGAATCAATGATTTGGAAGACAGGATAGAAAAGAAAACACAATCAGAGCTCCAAAACAAAGGAATTTAAAAAACGAGGATAGTTTAAGGGACCTTCGGGACAACATGAAGCATAAAAACATCCGCATCACAGGGGTACCAGAAGGAGAAGAGACAGAGCAAAAAATTTAGAACCTATATGAAGAAATAATAACCAAAAATCTAACCTGGTGAAGGAAAAGGACACACAAACCCAGGAAGCACACAGACTCCCAAACAAGATGGACCCAAAGAAGTGCACACCAAGAAACATAATAATTAAAGTGGCAGAGGTTAAAGACAAAGAGAATCTTCAAAGCCACAAATAAAGATAGTTAACTACAAGGGAGCTCTCATAAGAGTGTCACCTGATTTCTCAACAAAAACATTTCAGGCCAGAGGGGCCTGAATATTGTCTTTGAATATTGCTATGAAATATTCAAAGTGATAAAAGGCAAGGATCTACAACCGAGACTATTTTACCCAAAAAGGATATTACATTTGAGAGAGAAATAGCTTCCCAGACAAGAAAAAGTTAAAGGAGTTTGTTACGACCAAACCAGTACTGTAAGAAAATGTTAAAGTGCTTGCTTTAGTGCTCAATTATGCAGCACATATACTAAAGCTGGAATGATACAAAGAAGATTAACATGGTCACTGCACAAGGATGACAGGAAAATTTGTGAAGTGTTCCACATTTTTATATTTCAAAAATGTATATTGAACAATAAATGACCCAGAATAGCCTCATCAATTTTGAGAAAGAAAAAGAAAGTAGGAAGGATCACAATACCTGATATCAAATTATATTACGAGGCCACTGTAATCAAAGCAATCTGGTACTGGCATAAGAACAGACACATGTATCAATGGAACTGAATAGAGAGCCCAGAGATAAACCCATATCTCTATGGTCAATTAATATTTGACAAAGAGGGCAGGAGGATAAAATAGAGTGAAAATAACCTCTTCAATAAATGGTGCTGGGAGAGCTAGACAGGTATGTGCAAAAAAATGAAATTAGACCATCAACTTACACAATATATCAAAATAAATTCAAGATGGATCAAAGACTTAAATATAAGTCATGACACCATAGAACTCCTAGAGGAAAACTTAGGCAGTAAAATGTCAGGTATTCCACACTGCAGTATCTTCACCAATATTCTAGGGCAAGGGATATAAAGGAAAAAATAAACAAATGGGACTACATCAAATTAAAAAGCATCTGCACAGCTAAAGAAAACATCAGCAAAATGAAAAGGGAACCAACTATATGGGAAAACGTATTTGTCAATGATAACTCAGACAAGGGTTTGATCTCCAAAATATAGAAAGAATTAATATGACTCAATGCCAGAAAGACAATCTAGTTTAAAAATGGGCAAAGGACCTGAACAGGCACTCCTCAAAGGAGGACATATATAGAGGGCCCAGAGACATATGAAAGAATGTTCAGCATCACTAGCCATCAAAGACATTCAAATTAAAACTACAATGAGATACCACCTCACACCAGTCAGAATGGCCATCATTAACAAATCAACAAATAACAAGTGCTGGTGAGGATGTGAGGAAAAAGGAACCCTATAATACTGGTGGTGGGAAAGCAGACTCTTGCAGCCACTGTGGAAAACAGTATGAAATTTCCTCAGAAAACTAAAAATGGAACTGCCTTTTGACCTAGCAATCTCACTGCTGGGATTATACCCTAAGGATCATGAACATCAATTCAAAAGAACCTATGCATCCCATGTTCACAGAAGTGCAATTTATAATAGCCAAGTGCTGTAAACAAACTAAGTACCCTTCAGTAAAAGAGTGAATCAAAAAACTGTGGTACATTTACACCACATGGAATACAACACAGCAGAAAGAAAGAACAAACTCCTAACCTTCGCAATAGCATAGATGGAACTGGAGAGCATTATGCTAAGTGAAATAAGCCAGGTGGCAAAGACAAATACAATAAGATCTCACCTATAAGTGCAACTTAATTAACAAAACAAACAAATGTGCAAAATAGAACCAGAAACATAGAATAAAGGAGCAAACTGACAGTGACCAGAGGGGAGTGAGGAAAGGGATAACCAGGGAAAGAAGGAGAAGGGTCTAGTCAAGGAACATATATAAAGGACCCATGGCAACGGACAACAAGATGGGGACTGACTGAAAGAGAGGGGTTGGACAGGGCAGGGGAGAGCAACCAGGGGAAAATCGGGACAACTGTAATTTAACAATAAAAAGGGGGCTTGCTTTAAGAAGAGGAGAGGAAGAAGGAGGAGAAAGAGGAGGAGGAGGAGGAAAAAAAGAAGAAAACAGAGGAACATAAAAAAAAATGGCAATAAATATGTACCTATCAATAATCACTTAAAATGTAAATGGCATAAGTGCTCCAATCAAAAAAGACAGGGTAGCTGAAAGGCTTTCCTCTTGCATCTCTGCCACCAACATGTCATCCAGATTGAGTAAGACCTGGAAACTTCAGGGCCACATGAGCCACAGCCAAGGCCACATCGGCAAGCACGGGAAGCACCTGGGAGGCTGAGGTAATGCCAGTGGCTTGTATCATCACAGGATTAACTTTGACAAATATCACTCAGGTTACTTTGAGAAAGTTGGTATGAGGCATTACAACTTAAAGAGGAACAAGAGTTTCTGCCCACTGTCAACTTTGATAAACTGTGGACCCTGGTCAGTGAGCAGACACAGGTAAATGCTGCCAAAAACAAGACCAGAGCCGCTCCCACCATTGATGTGGTGTGATCAGGCTACAACAACGTTCTAGGGAAGGGAAAGCTCCCAAATCAGTCGTCATTGTGAAAGCCAAATTCTTCAGCAAAAGACCTGAGGAGAAGTTTAAGAGTGTTGGTGGGGCTTGTGTGCTGGTAGCTTGAAGCCACACAGAGAGGAATCCATTAAATTCTGAAAAGTGAAAAAAAAGACAGGGTAGCTGAATACATAAGGAAACAAGATACATATATACGCTGTTTACAACAGACCCACCTCAGAATTAAAGACACACACAGACTAAAAGAGATGGAAAAAGATATTTCATAAAAATGGAAATGACAAAAAAGTAAGGTTAGCAATATTTATATCTGACAAAATAGATTTTAAAACAAAGATAATAGTGAGATACAAGGAAGGATTCTACATGATGAGAAAGGGAACAATCAAGCAAGGGGATATAATCTTTGTAAATATTTATACACCCAACATAGGATCACCTAAATATATGAAGCAAACCTCATGTAAATAAAAAGGGAGATTGATACTAATACAGTCATGAGAGGGAATTTTAAAACCTCATGACATCTTTGGATAGATTTCCAAGATAGAAAATAAACAAGAAAATAGTAACCTTGAATGACACACAAGATCAGATGGATTTAATTTATATCTTCAGAGCATTTCACGCCAAAGCAGCAGAATATACATTCTTTTCAAGTGCAAATAAAACATTTTCTAGGATAAACCATATGTTAGGACATAAAACAAGCTTTAATTAATTAAAACAGATTGAAATCATATAAAGTATCTTCTCTGACCATAATGGTATTAAACTAAAAATCAGTCACAAGAAAAAAACGGACAAAGACATGAAGGCTAAATAACATGTTACTAAACAATAAATGGCGGGGGGGGAGATGGTGGAGGAGTGAATGGGAGTCACGCTGATCTCCTCCCAAGACCAAACTGGACTTGCGACTAAATAGTGGAGAAATCACCAAGAAAACAATGGAAAGAGAGGGAGAGGAGCCTTGGAGCTGTGGACAGACAGTGGAATCAACTTCCACACATCCTAATGGGTGAGAAGTGCAGTGGAGGCTTGAGAGGGTGGGCTGGGCGCCCACGGGCACCAGCACCAGAGGGACATTAAAATGGCCAGTTAGATCCCCCTGAGAAGAACAGAGTCTGAACCATAAATGGGGATGCCTAGACTACAGCAGTTGAAATCAGGAAAACGCACAGACAAAACGCAACCCTGAAAAGCTTAGGGGCGCTCTCTGCCAGAGACAGGTGGCTGGCAACGCAAAGAGACATTTAAAGGGCCAAATCAAAAATTTGCAGTGGCAGCCACCTTCCTTGATCTCTGGGTAGAGATGGCAGCAGGGTGGGCTGGTGCCTGAGGAAAGATTGGCGAGGAAAACTTTGTGAAGGAAACAGAGGCGGTGGCCAGGGGAGCCCCGGTCATAACTCACCTCCCACTCTCCAGCTACCACCTGGCCAAGGCATAAGAGATTCAATTAACCTGCCTTTGGCACGCTCCACGCACAGCTTGTGCACGTGTGGACTAGGGGCTGAGTGCAGACTGGCTGGAAGAAATAAAGGATCCCTGGCCAAAGGGGACACACAGCTGCATAGAGACCCTTGAGGAGAGACTGGAGACAGAGGGGTTGGGGAAAGAACTGGAGGATTATCTGAGATCCCCAGAGCAGGGTCCCTCCCCATTCCTTAGTCTCCATTTGGTAGGCAGGCCACGCCCCCAAAGAGGCAGAAGCATGCACCGGAGCCAGAAGGCCCACGATTACAGTCCGGAGAAATAGTGGATCCCTAGCCAAAGGGGTCACAGAGCTGCCCAGAGACCCTGGGGGAAAGACTGGAGACAAGATTAACCGGAGAGTCCCAGAGCTGACTTCTTCCCATTTCCGTAGTCTTCACTTTAAGCAGGCAGGCCATGCCCCCAAATAGGCAAAAGCAGGGAAAGCACACAATAAAAGACCCTAAACTGACCAGTGCTCGGGTGCATGCCAGGCGCCAGCGGCAGGTAAGAGCGTGAGGTCAGGCGAGTACGCCGGCCTGGGCTAGGGCGAGCGCGCGCCCCCAGGCTGGAGGACTGATGCGCCCAGGTGGGCATGGGATCCTGCTGGGGTGGGGGAGCCCGCTGAAGGAGCCAGTGTGAGAGTGAGGAGCAATCCACAGAAGTAATGGATCCCTGGCCAAAGGGGTAACAGAGCTGCCCAAGGCAGGAGTCAGACACAGACAGTAGATTCCTGGAAGGCTCAAACAAACGACACAAGGTCCGATAGGGTCAACAACGGACATCATCAGAGGCAGACCCGGAAAGAAAACAATAAATAAACAAACAAAAAATAAATAAATAAATAAAAGACCCGCCTACTACCATAGAAGTTTAATCCACAAAGTCAGGAAATCTAGACAGCCCAATTGAAGCAGAAGCAAAAACAAATAAAATGAATGAATGAATGAATGAATAACAACAGACTCTCTCAAAAATGGGAAGAAAAAGAAGATCCCCCAAATGAGGGGAAAGGAGGAATCCCCACAGAGAGAGCTTAATGAAATACAGGCAAGGGAACTATCAGATACTGAATTCAAAACAATGGTTCTAAGGAAGCTCAATGAGCTCAGCCAGCTCAAAGATAACTATGAGAAAATGCTAAGAAACTATCAGGATCTTACAACACATTATATCATCCTGGAAAAGCACATAGAAACTATCAACAAGACTCAAGAGGATATGAAGAATACCATTTCTGATTTTAAGAACACAGTAGAAGGAATCAAAAGCAGGCTGGATGAAGCTGAGGATCGAATCAGTGAGACAGAGGATAAGGTAGAAAAAAGCTCCCAGAAAGAACAAGAAATGAAAAAGAGACTCAAAAAGAATGAAGAGGCATTGAGGGAAATGCAGGACAACCTGAAACGCAATAATATCCATATAATAGGGATACCAG